GTCATTGTTCTGATGTCATAATCTTTGTCATGCTGAATCATAACTGCACAAATATGACACATTCGTGCCTCATCAATCAGTAATTGATCTCTTGCTGACTTGAATTGGAATATGTGAGCTTCCCTGGAAAGCTGTTAATGGAAGGATATGCCTTCTTTGTCATATCTGGTTTGTGGTGAGAGTTTCCTGCAAGCAACTCATCACCTGAAGTCACAGAGATGGGAATAAATATATGAATTTATCTTTTATCTTACGGTGAAGCAAATGCTGCTCTGCTTCCTTCTTTCTTAATATGAGATCATCTAAGACACAGAATGACTTTTAGCAATCTTCCCTATCCTGGTGTTTCAGTGCAGCCCCGAAAATTCCCAGCTATTTTGCAAGATTAGCAGAGAATTCTGAGAGATGCTATCGCTAAAAAATCTGGGTGACATCAGCTTCTGGCAGACTTGTTTTATAGTCATGGCAGATGAGCTTGTGGCTCTTCTGAGATATGGCATTGGCTGTATATGAGTCCCTCAAATTTCTTCTATATCTCAATCCACTGCCAGAGTGGATTGGCAGACTATCAAGTCTGTCAGAGCAGCTGGGCATCTGCTATTTTGAAGTGCTGTTTTCATTGAGAGTCATATGGCCATTCCATTGTTTCTAAAAATACCAGTTAAGGACTAGCTACTCTGAATGAGATACACAGAAGTCCTTTAGAGAATCCTGATTGGCTAGTGTTGCAGAGGGTGGGGTCAACTACTGCAACATTTTCCAATGTACTGTATGTTGTGAATGAAAGGGAGAGTGTCAGGTGACTAACTAAGATCATTTGTTCTAGGAAAAGATTGTTGGTGGAGGGTGTCATTAAATTGCATCAAAACTATATGTGTTGCGTAGTGCTCTCAAAGAAAAGACTATGTTAGAATAATATCAGGGAACAGCAGTGCTCTATGTCAGTAACTTGCAGGAGTGTGCCATGAACACTCTGGGAGAAACATCAAATTCAATAAGAATAGAGCTGGAAGGTACTTTGCAGACCAATCCCCTACTCAAGCAGGAGAACCTATAATATTTCAGACAAGTGACTGCCCAGTCTCTTCTTAAAAACCTCCAGTGATAAAGCATCTACAACTTCTGAAGGCAAGCTGTTCCACTGCTTAATTGTCCTCACTATTAGGAAGTTTCTCCTTAATTCCAGGTTGCTTCCCTCCTTGATTAGTTTCCATCCATTGTTTCTTGTCTTGCCTTCTTCTGCTTTGGAAAATAAGTTGACCTCCTCTTCTTTATGGCAGCCCCTCAAATACTGTAATACTGCTATCATATCACCCCTAGTCTTTCTTTTCTCTTGACTAACCATACCTCTTTGCCCTTGTCTGAGTTTAAAGGACCTACAGCTGGGCTGGGAAGAGGCACCACATACCTCATCTCCTTCGTTGCTAGATAAGGACATTTCCAGAGCAAAGGAGAAATAAAGCTGATGGAAAAGAAGAATTGGGACCATCCCATGCTTGGCTGAAGGAACAGCTACTCATCAGCCCACAGAAGTCATAACCAGGGAAGAAACTCCAGCAACTCATTGCTGTCGGTGCAGAAACAGCCTGGAGCAGCATAAGAGAAAGCTAGTCCTTTGCTTACATAGCTTGCCCTGAGTAGCCTTTTCCTTTGAGATGGGTTGACTCCTGGTCAGATTTAAGGCAGGCTATTCTGTTCCAAAAGGATTCATTTCTGGAAAGCCAATTATGGAGGGAGGAAATGTCTCTGAAGGCAGCCTGCCCCTCATCTTAACTAAAGGGACAAGGAGAAATAAGGCAGTGCACTGCAACTTTGGCGCTTAAGAACATGAATCACCATTATCCAAAGAATTGAGGTCCCACAGAAACTTTGAAAGTGTCTTATGGGTACTCTCGCAAAATGATTGCTATGGTTGATGTGGCCAGCCACAAAATACTCACTTGGCAAATGGTAAGAAAAGCAGTGAGTAATTCTTAAGACAGGTTGATTTATAGTTCGCTAGCTTCCCATCCTGGTTTTTTTTTTTTTTAATTAAATGCTTAAAAAAAAGGCAATATGGAAGAAAACGTGGCATGCACCTAAGCAAGGTCAAAATTGCAGTTCTGACTATACAGCTGAAGTCCTGTCCCTGTGCCTTTACAGACCAAAAAGTTGTGATTTCTATTACATAGTCATTACTACTATTTGAATAGTTTTAGCTCTCCTGTTGTAGACACCTTGGCATCTCTTGACATCACTTTGGGACTCAGGGCTTAGATTGTTCCAGGTTTAAGTCCCTCCTTAGGCATGAAACCCCAGTGCCTAATTCTAGGCAATTGCTATTTCTCTGCCTAACCTCCTTTACAGGACTGTTTTGGGGATATAGTTGGAGGAGAGAGTGCTGTCAGGGTTCCAAGTAACACCCCCAACAAAAGAAGACTCTGAGGCCAGAAGTTCCTCAAAGTTCCATTTTATTAGAGATGTAATATTGGCACATCTGGGAAAACCCGAATCTGAAAGCTTCCAGGTTTTCCCCACCCAGAAGAAAGTCCAAGTCCCTGCCCCAGCACCCACATGTCCATCACATGGTCCAATCAATGCACCGTCCCAACTGGAGATACTGCCCAGTCACCCCACTCTAGGTGCAGGGCAGGATGTCCTTGACTCTCAAAGAAAAGAATGTTATTATGGCTAGATATCTCTCCACTCCATACAATCCCCACTCCCAGTTTCCCATAGCACTAAATGTGGCAGCCCTGGAGATCCAAAGTAAAAGATGTCTGCCAGGCCTGACAAGTGCCACGTATAAACTTTGAACTTCTAGAAGAAAGCTAGGATATGAAATTAATCAACATTATAAAACTAATGTTAGAAATTTTATAAAGAATGGCTGCATGGTTTCTGGGTGTAGTTTAGGTCTTTCATCAAGGGCAGCCAACAGTCTGGCTGTAATCAATCCCCAATACATTGGTTGAAGTGTATCAGTTGTGAGATAGCTGAAAAAAAAGTCTACCAGAAGCTCCCTATGATTACATGCTAGGCACACTGGTCCTCCATGAACGAGCACAGTACTGTAGGACATCAAATTATAATTTGGACAGGAGATGGTTCATGGTAGATAGCTCTAGATGTTGCTAAATGCACAGACCATTGGCCTATTCCTCTCATGTAAAATCATGAATATTTTTGTTTTGGTCTTACTTAGATTTTCAGTACATTGGGGTAGCACCATATGCTAAATAAATAAATAACATGGAAGTAGCTGTTTTGGAAGCTACATTCTTAGCCAAAAGTTCTTTGGCAGGTTAGCTTCAAAATGTTATTCCGAAAGCAAAAGGCTTGAAAAATAATTCTAAACAAAGCAATTATACTGGCATTTTGCCTTGTAATTTTGCAAAATGGGGATTGGGAAAGACTGTTCAGCTATAGGGAACTTTTCTCGGCAGGGGCAGTAAGGTACCCTTGCTGGGTAAGGCCAGTGCTTGCTTTCATGCCTTGCTTGGTTCAACCTCTTAGAACCATGTAGCTAATTTCTGGAAAAGAAACTTTAGGGTAAAACAATTGGGCTATTCTTATATTTCTGTTTTATTTTTTACAAGGTGTATATACAGTCAATTACTTTAAAAGCCAGTTTTATGCCCAGCCACTTGGCTAGCTTGCCACAATACAACTAAACTGCTTTAAGTTATATCCACACACACACCCCAACACCAACTTCCATACTGCCCTGTCTAGAGTTATTGCTGATCTCCTGCCAGGAACAAGGCGTGTCTAGTCTGGCTCTCAGCCTTTGAGTTCCTACTCCCAGGCTGCCTGCCGCCTGGTCTTCCCGTCAGTCGGTGCCCGAAGGCGATACATGCCTCCTATTTGTTGCTGGGTTTCACACACAGCACCTCCTTGGTCCCCTCAGGGACTCTCTGCTGAACTGGGGGTTCAGAAGATTGCTTGTTAAGGAGCCACCAAGTTCACAAATAACTTTCAGGTAGATTTGAGGGTGGGGAGGATCAGTTCCCAGCATTCTCCTTTACTGGAACTCATCCTGGGGCCTCCTTTCAAGATCAAGGAGTGAAAAGACCCAGCTGAGACTTCTCATTTTGGGAAGATAATTTAAGTCGTATTTCAATAGAGATGAAAGCCAAACCATTCTGGATTATAACAAACAATTAAGACTCTAGAGCAATGAATCTCTAGTAAACCACCTTGGTCTCTACTTTGCCTGAACCTCAGAAGATGAGATCCATAGGACTGCATATAATAGTGTTCTTCCTTCATGGCCCTCATTTTCTATAATAATTCTGAGGTGAGAACAGATGAAAACTGTTAACCTAATCTCTAAAGTGTTTTTGCTTAAAAGACAAAGTAGTTTACCCTCCCAAAAAGTCTACCCTGTCCCAATGTGTGATGTCTTTCCTTCTTCCCTGCCTCCCATTAAAATGATTCTTGGCCACAAAGAGTGGCCTATCGCAAGTACCACTTAGTTGGTTGAACTAAGGATGCCCTGCCATAACGAAAGTCCTCTAGTAAGGATTGATAACAAGGAATTGTGGAAGCTGTAAGAATGGATTATATGTCAATTTGCATGTTTAACAGAAATCAGAGGTTAGTATCCATGTAACTTGTCATTCCATAAAGCTTCACATACTTGTGCTTAGTGAAAATAGAGAAAGTATTGTCTTTATTTTTCTTCCCAGCAATACCACGTTTGTTCACAGAGGTAAAAAAAAAATGCGAAGTCCTAATAATTCTTCCCTCAGCTCTGCCAGAGAAGAACTATTAGTAGTGAATTGAGTTAAGGAGTAATAATTGAGAGAAACACCAAATATTGGAAGTTTTTATAACGCAGGCATCCCCTAACCACAAGGGGAAGTCTTTAAAGGACCTCCTTCCAAGGTGACCTACTGCCCGGTCTCCATAGGTGAGTCCATTCTAAAACCATTGTTTAGAATCATTCTAGAATAGTTGGTTGCTGGGAAAAGCTTCCGATTGGATGATTTACCACCTGGAGCAAATACTTGTAGCTTAGAGGACCACAACAGCTTCTGAAAACCAAGTCCCACATTCAGGTCCACTTTTGAGAGAATTGTACATGTATATACAGTAGGTCGAATTTTGAAGAAAATCCCTACTGTAGCAAGCAGCTCTGTGTTTTTCCTGAAAAATCCACGCTGTAAAGAAAAATTTAGCACTTTTTAAAAATAGCATCATGTAAACAGCTGGAGCTTCCTGCCAATTTTATGACATAGAAGTGATGAAACAGTTGAAGGGAAGTCAGGGTTGGTCCCTCCACTTTGCCCTACATTTAGGGCAGTTTGCTGATCTATGTTGAAAAGTGAAATCTAGCTCAGATTTTGGCTACTCCACAATTAGCTTAGCTCACTATCTTGAAATGGTACTGCTCACCTGTTCTACCTAAGCATGGGTAAGAATGTAAATACAAGCACTTTGGTGTTGATGGCATCTATCCAACTTGAAAGGGAATTGGCGGGGGATAGGAAGACCTCCTTGTAATGGAAATCAGTTTCACATTACTCCTCTAAGACATGGACCCCCTTTAAAAAACTTTGGGTGGTCTTCTCAACCAGTCAGTGAAAAACCTAGATGCTAATCTTGCTACTTTCAGTTGCCTTTGCCTTCAAAGGTTGAAGAAAACCAGAATGGACTTTGAAGTTTCTCTCTATCACATGCGAACATTTATCAAAGTATCTTTCAAAGACTAAATGAGTTATGTTTCAGAAAGTCAAGTGTGAGCTCCAGTGTGCCAAAAAATTATTGGTGTTTCCAAGCTTCCTGCAGTGCACACGTATGTAAAACAAAGTTAGAACCATCCTGCTGACAGATATTTCCTTAGAGTCAATATACATTAAGTGTGTTTCTGTGCCTAACATTTTGGAGACATTAGCATCCTATTTTTCATTCCTGATTTCTCTCAAATAGCAATGTGAAATGTTTGAACAGCTCCTCTTTTGTCATTTAACTATCTAACGTTTTATCTGGTTTTGTACTCTGGCATAAAAAGACATTTATTTTGAAAAGCCCCAAGATTCTTTGTTGATGGCAGGAAAAACGTATATATTTAAGGATTCCAGGATTTCCCCACTATAATAAGATAATTAAACTACTGAGAATAAGTAGGTTTAACGCCCCATTCCCTGACTCATCAAATTACCTTCTTTTCCCATGCCAGTAAACTCTGATCTTTTTAAAGCTTATATCATATTGTAAGACTTGGATGGGTTTAATTGATTCCTAATAAAGTAATTGTTGACAATTGAGAATGTCTTATAGCCAAGCTCTATCTAGCACAGTATGGGCTATATAGCACATAAAGGAATAGCAGAAGAAAGGAGATTTTGTGCTGAACTTACAAAGAGTTGTGCCTTCTCTCACATCTTTCTCATTTTGGCCATATGGAATATAACAGAATACCACATCAACTTCTCTTACCAATATAAAATTAGTAGAGCCCTGGCAGCGCAGTGGTTAAAGTGCAGTATTGCAGGCAAACTCTGTCCACAGTCTGGAGTTTGATCCTGACAGCGCTCAAGATTGACTCAGCCTTCCATCCATCAGGGGTTGGTAAAATGAAGACCCAGATTGTTCAGGGCAATTCTCTGATTCTGTAAACTGCTTAGAAAATGTGCTAAGGCACAATGGAGCAGTATATATAGTAAGTTTAAGTGCTATTGTTAAGTCCTATAAAAACATCTTTGGTATTAAAAACAGATTGTGCCCCACATAAATTAAAGCAATGGGTTGGGGGAACTTGGCCACAAGTTGGTGCTCAACCTTATACAAATAGAGGATCTTATCAATAGGATCCAATAGAGTCCATTGTCATTTGATTAGTTTCCTTCCTTCATTTTTTTATTTGTTAGATTTTTTTTTTTACTGCACAAATATCATTTTATAAGTAACTCAAGGTGGCAAACTCATCTAATACTCCTGCCTTCTCCTATTTTCCCCACAACAACACCGTGAGATGAGCTGGGTTGAGAGAGTGTGACTGGTCCAAAGCTACCCAGTTGAATTTCTTGCTAGAACTCACTGTTCTAAATAAAAATAATATATTTTATATGAATATTATTTTAATGCATCAATTATTTTAATTATATATATATATCAGGGGTGGGTTCTACTTACCTTTACTACCGGTTCGCAACGTGGTATAATTCATATATATATGAATTATAATAATATATAAAATATCATTTATTATTTACCATCATCACCTTCCCCCTTTCCCCTATTTCCCTATAAATACTTTAATGTTTCAACACAAATGGTGATACATACCTCACCTTGTCTGGTCTCAGAAACAGAGTCAAACCCAACTGGGGATTGAAGAGATTCTATACACTGAGGACTTTGTAAAAAGAAAAAAGGGGAAGAAAAGAAAAAAAAACACTGATAATTCTCCCCAAATCCCTTGATTATATGAAGACCAGATATGCTACTGGAGAGTTTTAGCATTGAATCCATGTCAGGTTAAAAGAATTATTTTTTCACAATTTGGTCTGTAAGCAAGAAAGGTATTCAGTGCCTGAGGATGGAACACTAGGCCAAAAACAAACATTAAGCTACGTTATGATATAGCACCTTTGTAAACCAAATTAATATGTGAATATGTGAATCAAATTAATATATAAGAGAAGAGTCCACCAATAAACGAACTGTAGTATCTCCATAGAAGTTTGAACGGAGCCATGGTAAACAGCTCACAGCTTTGGGGAATGGTGCATATTTATGCCAGTAGACAAACTATTTTGTGTTAGAAAATCCTTGTGAAAATGACATACTATATCTGCTATTGTGGATAATTTTCTTTATGATATAATGTCAGTTTTTCCCCTCATGAGAGAAAGTTCTACAGAACTTATGAGTTAGAGTGCATAGACATGTCTATGGAGATTCTCAGTCATCCAGGTCATGGTTGTCCCAAAGGTGCTTTTTCAAGAGGCAACTGGACTTTCTGGTTTTTCTTTGAAGCTGAAGAAACTTCTTGGATGAGAAGTGAAACATCTTCAAAGAAAAGCCAGGAAGTCCAGTTGCCTCTTGAAAAAGCACCTTTGGGACAACTGCATGGAGATTTTTGGTCCACCTAGCATAGAATGTAACCACAGCCTTTCCTGACCTAGGTCCTTGGGCTACAGCTCCCATAAATCTCATCCATAACAGAAGTTGCTCTCCAAGATATTTGGAGGCACTCAGATTGGAGAAGACTGCTTAGACTCATGGGCTCTTGTGCTTTCAGAATATTCTCTCCCAGCCTCTGCTACCCAAGATCCCTTTAAAGCTGGAATGGCCAAAATAGAACCTTCTGTTTGAAAAACACAGATTCTGCGATGGAGCTCCTGGACCATTTTCCCGCAAACTGGAAATTTCATGTAACTCAATTTTTAAAACTATGCAACTGGCACACATTTAAGCCTGGTATGTGTTCTGCATGAAAGGACTTCTTAAGAATCACCCATCGTGCATTACTGAAATAGCTTTACGACAGAAAGCTGCGGCTGGTGGATTAAGCATGCTTTCAAAACCCAGTGGTTGATTTTCATTAACCAACAAGTCCCAGATCTAGGATTTGGGGGGGGGCAGCTTCAGGCAAGACAGCCTGAGAGGGTTGATATTCAACCCATAGTTTCTCTCCCGTTGCCTCTAATCAGCAGCACAAAGTCGCCCTTTTGGAGCAATTGGTCGGTTGCCAGTTTTAGGGCCCTGGCAAGTCTCCAGCTTCACCACCCCCTGGGCTAGCCTTCTTAATCACTCAGGGGTTGTATTACTAGAATTTAATATCAATGGGAACATCCTTGTGATTAATATTAACCAGATGCTTTATGCTTCAATTCTAAAGCTTGATGAATCAGCATGCAGGTGCCCAGACAAACGAGATCTGCTGGAAGCTCTCCTGGTTCAGCGTAGTGTTACTTTGCCATTGTATTGGCAGGTTATAGGTAAGTAGATGCAGTCAGAGTGCTAATGTGCTGAGATCCTCTGAAGTTAAGCTACATAGCTTAACTCAAACTTTTTTGTGGAGGGAGATAAAGTGTTTGCTAAGTTTTGACATGCTTCCTCTTACTACCATAACCTCCACACTCAACACCGGCAGAATTAATTTCCTGACCACCCTTCTCTTCCTATTACGTACAATATTTTGTTCCTTGCATTTCTAAACATATTTTTCAGCTTCTAGAGAGAAGAAGTTTATTCGGGCACGACAGTCAAGCGGCAAGGGGATCCTGTGCCACGCTCTCCTCTTCTTCTTCTTCTTCTTCTTCTTCTTCTTTTTTGGCTGAGTTTACAGAGTTAATGCAATTGCTCATGAGCCATTTCACCTACAGCAAGAAGTGAAAGCATCCAACTACACCCAGAAAGTGATCACAGAGCACCCTGCAGGAGTTTACTTCCATTTCAAAGGCGGAGAGAAAAAGAAAGAGAGATCAAAACCCAAGGAAGATTTAAAAAAAAAAAAAAACAACCCACCACTTTCAACAGTTTCTATGAGCCTATGTATAAGATTAAGATTGAATTTATCTTAAATATTTTTTTATCTTAAAAGATATATTTCATAATCATCATCACCATTATTACTATTTTTTTTAAAAAAAGCAGCATATTAAAATCAGGAAAATCAAATAGCTCATGGCCAGATTGCTTGTATACCTGTAAGCAAACAGATTGTAGTAAACAATCTTATCTTAAGATAAGATATCTTAATAAATTAGCTGAAACTCTAGAGCAGGGGTCTCCTTGAGGGACGCATCAGGGTTATGTTTGACCTCAGTGGGACCAGGGTGGGTGTGGCCAGCTCGACATCACTCGTGTCGGAGGTTACATGTGGTGGCCAATTCCAAAGGCAATTCCTCAGACCCACCCTTCCTCCCTCTCATTATAATCTCCTTCCTTCCTTCCTCACCCCCCGCCCCCCCGAGCTCCATTTTTGCTAGCAAGGGCACCATGGGCTGGTCCTTTGCTGTTTCCAAGGTGGCCAGATCTAAGCATCCGAGTTTGACACTCCTGCTCTAGAGAATACAGTAACAAGAGCAGGATTCCTAACCATTGTTGTTTAGGTAAAACCAAACAGATGTTACAGAAAAGCGGTACGTTCCCAATATCATACCTGAACCAGAAAATATTCAAGCAGTGAGGCTGGCATTTTAATAGTTAAGGCCAGATGATGTATTTCCACTCGTTTGTGGTGACTCATGTACTTTGTATATTTGCAAATATTTATCTTAAATGTCAAAAAAAAAATCCCTAGTAGTTGTTTTTACTTGGTTTCTTTCCATGTGTGATCAGAACCTTCTTGCACTTAATTTAAAAATGAACTATTTGAAGGAATTATCACCCCCTTTATACCGGAAATGTTCCCTTTCTGTTCCATATGGCCTCAGTGTAATCAGAAATATCTGATCTCCGCTATTCATAATATTTTTCAAGAAAACGTTGACTTGTATTCTTCCTGGTTCGAGAAGTCTGTATCGCTTTTTCTCTGCAATTATTAAAAAAAAGTTCCTGAAAAAAGTACTTAGAAAATTAATATTAAATGTATCGGCTGTTATTGTTGGAGTGTGGGTTGCCACCATATGTGGGAAGAATATTTTCAGCAGAATGGCAGGTAGCTCTGGAAACAAATTGGAAGAAACTGTATTTTGAAAAAGTTTTTCAACTGTAACCCAGAGAAGATAACCAAATACGCATTTCTTCCTCCTCTCTCTTTAACACTATTATTTTGAGCCGAATGCGGAGATCAAAGTTTATTTGTGACTTTTTCTTCATACACTGCCCCATCTCCCATTCTTAAGAAGGGAAACAGCTAACTGGGGAGAGTAACCTTAATCCCAAGCGAATCCAAGTTGTGGGTTAAACATTAGCCCCTCTGAATTACCTGTTTGGGTTATTTGTTCTAAATAGGGTGTTCATATAAGGCGTGCAAACTTCCCCCAACCACAGGGGAAGATGTGCAGAGTTCACAAATTCATAGGAGTCATTTAGGCTTTGAAAAATCTAGCTATGCAGTTGCTAAGAATCAAAATCTATTTGATGACACATAATCAATCAATCAATCAAATTTAGGCCCTTGGTTAGTATTGTAGAAAGTCAGCACCTACCCTTCCTAGAAGAATGAAATTTTTTTGAGAAATATTAAAAAGGCAGAATATTATATTTCCCTAAAGGAGAAATGGAGAAACATGCTCTTGGAGACAGAAAGCAGCCTCCAAGTCTTTCTTAATAGCCCCAGGAGATACTGAGGCCAGCTTTTAGAAATGCAGATTTGGTAATCCATTCAAGACAGGATATTTTGAAACAAAGGCAGAATGGTAGGATTAGCCCTCACTCAAGATCCAACACAGGATAAAGCCATTAAGCCACAATAGGAATTATTGCTTCACCCTCAGAACAGTCCAAATTTCAACAAAACTTAGCTCAAATGAACACCTAGGATTTGTACTTTGCCTATAGAGCCAGCTATGACCCCTACACAACCCCCATGGGAGTCTGAAAACAGCCAATAGAATACATGTTCTTCCACAGGAACAGGAAGCTCAAGTGCAAAGTCCAAGAGAACGTATAACCCAGTGGTGAAATCCAATTTTTTTTACTACCGGTTCTGTGGATGTGGCTTGGTGGACGTGGTGGTGGGTATGGCTTGTTGGCATGGCAGGAGAAGGATACTGCAAAATCCCCATTCCCTCCCCACTCCTGTGGGAAGGATATTGCAAAATCTCCATTCCCATCCCACTCTGGGGCCAGCCAGAGATGGTATTTCCCAGTTCTCCAAACAACTCAAAATTTCCACTACTGGTTCTCCAGAACCTGTCGGAACCTGCTGGATTTCACCCCTGGTATAATTCCCACACACACACTCTCTCAATTCCATGTGGTCAGCTGCCCAGAACCCATGTGGTTCTGCTTCATCATTAAACCATCTTTCCAATCAGCCTCCATGTTTTCAGTGTCTTTCTCCCAGCTTGGAACAGAACCAGATGGACATTTCTTCCCAAAATATAGGAATCCAAGTGGAAGCAACTCATAGAGATGGCTATCTAGCTTCTGCTTAAAGAAAACCAGAGGATCTCATTATTGTTCTGGATAAGTGATTCCACCATCAAACTCTTCTTGCTGTTAGTAAAATTAATCTTTCATTTGAAGGAAAAGCAGAGAATCTGGTAGCACTTCAGATTAACACATTATGGCATCTATTAATTAGTCTCTGGTCCATGAAGATGTAACTCTCTTGCATCCTAGACTCCTAACAGGTGTCAGCAAATTCATTTATGTTTTAAGATGTTGCAAGTCTCTATTATGCTTGTCTCATCAGTCCTTCTTATAGATCTCCTCCTCTTCTTCCGCCTTCTTAGCTTTGTGACTACTGTGTATTATTTAGAAATAATAAATTAATAAGAAAAGTAGGCTTCTATTTAAAGGAATCGAGAGGCAACCTAGTATATAGTATGCCTGACTCCAGGGCATTCGAAAGAACATTGAATGGTGAAATAAAGTCTTTTGCTGCCCACACTTTGGGAAAAGTTGTTGTGCAAGCCACCGTTCTACTTTGCCAATTCAGAAGTGAATTGTTGATATCCTGGAGCAGTCTCTATTTAAATGTTAATTGATCCTCTATCTTCTATCCCACTCCCCTTCCCAACAGTTTCACATTGTTTGGGCAATTACTTTTAATAAGGGAAAGTAGCAGGGGTGAAATGTAAAATTTGTTACTACCGGTTCTGTGGGCGTGGCTTGGTGGTGGGGGTAATGTGACTGGGTGGGCATGGCCAACTTTTTTTAAAAAAAAAACTTTTCAAAGCATTTTTTCTAATGCTTTGAAAAGCCTCTGCCAATCAGGCAACTCAGCTGGGATCGTCAGAGAGGCTTTTTAAAAAATGCTTTGAAAAGCCTCTCTGATGATCAAGCAATTCAGCTGGGATTGTCAGAGACTTTTCAAAGCATTTTTTTTACCACTTCTTCGGCAAAGAGGTTGCAGAGGTTTTTAATCGGAAGAGGTAGAAAAAATGCTTTTAAAAGTTTAAAAAAAAGCCTCTGATGATCGTGCGGCTCAGCTGGGCATGGTGGGGGGGACGCAGGGATTTTTGCTACCAGTTCTCCGAACCACCCGCCGCCATCGCTATCGGATCGGCCGATCCGGTCTGAACCGGGAGCATTTCACCCTTGGAAAGTAGGAAGATTATCAAACAGAAGAGGGGAAAGGAAATCATAGAGAGGACAGAGGAAAGGAGAGGACAGGATGAATGAACTTTAAGCAGAGAGGAGAGAGGAAAGGAAATGGAGATGCAATTCAGACAATACGTCCTGATTAGACAAGGGGAGAGAAACCTCTAACAGCATTGAAATAAGGAATATAAATCACTTGGGTGCTTAATAAGTAATGGAAACATTTCTAAAGCTTTGCTGTATTATGGGGAAAAATGCAACAGCAATAGAAAACAATTGCATTGTACAATCACATTTTAGGGTAGAGAGTATTTACAGTAGCCTGCAATTGTGTTAATAGACCAGCAAAAACATATAAAGCAAGCACAGGCATGCAATTTCACCACTGGAAGCTTTCAAGAAGAGACTGGACTGCCATCTGTCAGAAATGGTGTAGGGTCTGCTTGGGCAGGGGGTTGGACTAGATGACCTACAAGGTCCCTTCCAACTCTGTTAATCTGTAATTGATTGGGAAGAATGAGCCATGGCAGTAGCAGGACATTGGGAAATCAAGAGAATAGGCTACTGGAAAGACTGGTGACTGGTGACTTCAGCCGCGGTGGCGCAGTGGTTAGAATGTAATACTGCAGGCTACTTCTGCTGACTGCTGGCTGACTGCAATTTGGCAGTTCAAATCTCACCAGGCTCAAGATTGACTCAGCCTTCCATCGTTCCGAGGTGGGTAAAATGAGGACCCAAATTGTTGGGGGCAATATGCTGATTCTGTAAACCACCTAGAGAGTGCTGTAAAGCACTGTAAAGCGGTATATAAGTCTAAGTGCTATTGCTATTTCTATTTCTGGAAATATTCTTGAAAGATGGGCATGGGATACATTCAAATTGCTTGCTTCCTCTTCTAGAAAACACTCCTTGATATGTTGAAACTGGCATCCATGTGTCGCTCAAGTCTTAAACTACCTTGACATTCTTTATCATAACTAACAACAGGTCTTCAGAGTTTTTAGTTAGAATTTATTTCAAATTAGGCCAGAAATTTCAGGGATGACCCAGGATCCTAGTTTTGCAGAGCAAGGTTTCCTCAAATCCTGGATAGAGTGACCCTTTGATAGAATCATTGTCAGAAGTACCAGTGTCAGTTTTATTTTGTTACCTATTCAGCTGTTTTCATTCCTGCTTTTGTTAAGTGTGGTTCCAAGGCCAAAAAACTAACCACAAAGCCTGGCCATTAAAGTCACTGTTGATTAGACATCATGGCTTGTTTCAATGTCAGTAAGTATGATTTCTCAGTTCACAAAAAATGAGACATAAGGGTTAAGAAGAAACTTCATGGTTTTTTTATACAAGGACTTGTGGGCAGACATCCTGCTCAGTCAGTCACATAAACTCAGTGGTGGGATTCAGCCAGTTTGCATCTATTCGGGATAACCAGTTGTTAACTTTCTAAGCAGTTCAGAGAACCAGTTGTTGGAAGAAATCTTATTTTCTTTTTTTCCATTTTACAGGGCTAATCCTGTAAGGAAGGCAGGAAGGAAACATTCTGGTGTTGTTTCTAGCCTAATCTTTATTGCCCTGCTTACAGAAACTGCCTCTCTGGTTAACCCTTATAACATTGTAACAGCTAAGGTGAAGTGCCCATCGACGTGAGTGACGTTGAGTTGGCCATGCCCACACGGTCACATGGCCACTGAGCCACGCCTACCCAACTGGTCATTAGGGCAGAAAACTGGTTGTTAAATTATTTGAATCCCACCACTGCATAAACTGATGTGTTCATAGTTCAGACTGTATCAAACCAAAGCCGTATACTTTTTCACTTGGTAAAATTATTTTGTCTTGGCTTAAAAGAGAGGTCTTGATTAATTGAAAAGTAATAGTTCACATTAAGAAGCAGTTTCTCAACCAACTAGCCATTCATGTAAAGACCTAATTGTAAAGGCTGTAACTTTTCTCTCACATCCTAATCCCTGGCAGTGTCAAGGTAAAATAAAATAGGTGACACAGTGACCTCTTGAAGTGTGAGAGTACCACTTCCATAAACTGTGGTCGGAATGCCTGGGAATCATGAGAACTGCAGTCTAGCAAGGTCTGTGGGATAGGACCTTGGTTAACTGACGTTGACCTGAGCTACGTAGTTATAAAAGCATAACCAAGAAAGAAGAGCTATGTTCAGAGCATGTAAAGCAGCCCAGGAGACTTCTGTTTTGGAACAGAAATTGTTTTTAAGAGCAAGTGAAGGAAATAAATTGTAACTGTGTTTCTGCTCTATCAAGGGCTTCACTGCACACATTTGTGCGTAGTTTACCTTGACGTAGAAGCTAATAAGAAACACAACATTTATTTGGAAT